CTCTCTTGGCCTTCGCGCACTGGACAGTGCCTCACTCGCCTTGCCCACGACCTGGCACGTGCCTGCTCTACGTATTCCGACTTGCAGAGTGATGCCACTCGCTACCGGTTGGTGCACCACGGCTCTCTTTGGTACCATGGCGATCAGGTCTTTGTGCCTCCATCGATGCGACAGCGCATCATGGAGGCTGACCATTGCCCCTCCTACGCGGGCCATTTTGGTGAGACTAAGACGGTGGATTTCATCCACCGCTACTACTACTGGCCTTACAACCGTCGCGTCATTGTGGCTTTTATCGCTGACTGCCACACATGTCAGGTCTCCAAGCCTCGTCCCGGGCCTTCCACGGGCGAACTTCAGCCCCTGCTGATTCCCAATCACGAGTGGGCCAGCGTCTCGATAGACCTTATCGTCCATGTTGTGGAAACATATGGGGGTCGAGAGATTTATGGCCATTAGTCTTGGTTGATTAGTCATTTGTGGGATTGGACCTATTATTTGGATTCTTTGTGATCTCTAGATACTCGTAGGCTCTTTACTTGTCTAAATCCCCCAAGTGTGGAGTAGTTTGTGGCCTAGGGAAGTCCCTGTACTTAAGGGACAGGCCGTGGGGGTAGACTGAGCTGCGATGTATCGATAGTGGGTCCGATATGGGGGTATGCCGGGTGATACAGTCGTGACGTGCTGATGTACATTCTGCGGTGTCTGTGTGATGGGTGGCCGGGCCGGAATGTGGCCGACCACCAGTACGTATGCGGGGGTGCGTTGCTCCCCGCTCTGTTACCCGTTTGGCTCACTGCCTCGCTCCGCACGGGCCTCGCAGCCCGGGGAGCCAGCTGCCTTGCTACCCGCCGTGTTCGAACGGCAGGATCGCCCGATCCCAGAGTGCAAGAGGGCCCACCGCGCAACGAACGAACGAGCACCCCGATTACGCCCGCCGGGTTCGGCGGAGGGGCCATCGGCCCAACCGGGTGCAGGCGGATGAAGTGGGGACACGCGCGACAAAAAGGGACTAGCGGAGGCCATTAAAAGAGCCCCGCGACAATTACCACCCAGGATTTGCATGCCAGGTATGGCCACATCTTCTGCTCCGGAGGAGCGCAGTGTGTTTGAGGGTGACTGGGCACACAAAGTTGTGGGTACCTCGAGTTGTATTGGGACAAACAGTGTCGTGTAATGTATTGGTCCAGTGTGTGTGTGGACCTGGGTGGGACAAGGAGCCCGGCCCGGCGGAAATGGGATTAACTATCTTGTTAAGGGGTTTCCGCCCAGGGCGACGAGGGGCGGGCGCGCTGGCCCACTTGGGCCAGCGCTGCTTAAAGTACGATGGTTTTGGCAGCCCCTTGGGGTTTCTGTCCCTCTGTACCTTGGGTCAGTGGCTGGCTCGTTGCGTTCAAGGAGGGCCAATGGTTTTTGGCGCCCTTGGGAGCGGCGGGTTTTGGCGGGCACGAGCGGGGAGGCTACTTAGGCTCACCCCTCGGTCCCCACCTTATCTTGTTTCGCTTCCCGCCCGCCCCCCCCTATTAGGGTGATGTTCGGTTGAGATGGGCAAGTGTGGGAGTTAAGGACATTGGAACGGGAGTGGTGGGTCTGACTCAAGGGTTAAGTCTTGTATGGGACTGGCTTAACTACTAGCAAAGCGATTGGGCACACAAAGTTGTGGGTACCTCGGGTTGTATTGGGACAAACAATGTCATGTAATGTATTGGTCCAGTGTGTGTGTGGACCTGGGTGGGACAAGGAGCCCGGCCCGGCGGAAACGCATAAAAAAAGGGAAATGTACGTGGAAATCCGTTGCGATTACATTTGCCAAAAACATGGCTAAGCAAGCCTTGTCACCAATCTTGCGATGTCGGGCAGTGTTCCCAAAAAACAGCATGCAATCCAGTCAGTGTTTATATTCGACTGTCATCAAACGACCCCCAAAACCGGCAGCAAAGCCACCCAAAGAAAAAGAGAAAGACGGGCCAGAAAATGTCAAGCGCAGCTCCCTGACCCTCAAGGGGTAGGGGAGTGCAGAGATGAGAGCCAACGAGGGATAATTGTGCTCCAGAGTATTTCATTATTCATCCAGACGCCCCAGCCCAAAAAGAGAAGGAAACCTGAATGCACCCAGAAAAAACAGAAAGTTCATCTAAATGAAAATACGTAAAGTACGTAAAATACAACGTAAGTACCCGCCGGTGTACACAAAGACAGTACATATGGACTAAGACAATACATATGGATGGAGTCCTGGGAGTAGCAGCATGCTGCGCTGGAGTAGACGGATAACGAACTTTTGTTCGATGACGTCGCTGCCCTTGCCGAGCGCCAGATGGACGCTATGTTGTGCATGCTCAAGGGGCCGGAGGACTCATCATTGTACGCCACTTTCATTGTGTAACCTAGGTGTCCTAACGAGGCGTAAGAAGGTAAATACAGCTGCAAAAACAGCCACTTTGCAAATTTGTATTTGTCTGCGTAAACGCAGAAAACGCAGAAACGTAAATGTGAATAACAAGCCTGTTAAAAAGCATACAATAGCGCTATTGTATATATTTCCATATTCCTCGCAGCCAGCAATTGGTGCGAAATCGAGCAACGTATTTAATTGCGCGGGTTGATGCAATGTCAATGACATTATCAGATGACATGTCGACAGTATTAATGAAATATTTATTGAACGTCCAATTCCCAGTTGGGCAATAGAAGGATTTAGCCCCACCACATGAGCTTCACTAAGGAGCGGCGATTGAGGTTTTGGCGGTTTATTCAGCTTTGGGGCACCTCTTGTTGCGCACTCTGATCTCAGATTTCCTGGACTTCAACATGGGACTCTCTCAGCACCTTTATTTCTGATTGATTGGCTACTCTTTCTGCCCGACACCCATGCTAACCAGCTTCACACAAAGAAATCCCATCATTTTTCATACCAGAACAACGACCGCGACCATCATTTTTGCCCATTCCTCCCAACTGGAAGAGCTAAGCCCCAGCACTTCACACTTCGCTTAATCTTTAAAACCGAGCTCAAAGGATGGACGGGTGGGAGTAAAACAAAATATTTCGCCATCTTTGGTCTCTCCTACAGTAGCTACTGAAATTTCACTCGCGCTATAGGGAGACTGGTCGCCAACCGTGTAGATCCTTGGCCAGGCTACCCTTTAAAGGCTCTAAAATCTAAAAGTGCAAGCCTCGAGCTTCCTCGAAAGCGTGCCTAAATTGAACAGATCCTTTATGCCCGCTTTGAAATGCAGTCTGTGAGCGGAGCTAAGACCGCGAAGAGTCCGTCGACCCGGAAACGGCCTCTGCCACCGGCAATTCAGGGAGTTTCCGGGGTATCGCCAGCGCCCAGCCGCATCTCCCTCTGCACAAAACTCCATAACTATCCATAACTCTGCCAAAACCTCTTACCCCAATGTCCTTGATGTGCGCTCTGAGCGCTTTGAACTTTGCCGTTGTTCTCCGCGCCGCCCTTCGCTCCACTTGACGGGCATTGCAGCATCACTCACTAATGGTACATGATACGAGAAAGGGAAGCTGGCGTCGATGCCAGCTTCACGTGGGCATCCACAGCACACCATCGTGATCCGTAAACATTGTCGACAGTCGAGGCGACAGCAAACAGATTTCTGCCATCCCGTTCCGTATCCTCTTGTGGTGCGTACCAGATTTGGTGCACGGCAGGAGGAGTATTTTGGTACGCATCTGGGTGACGCCGACAGCAATCAACCCAGCGCGCACTCCACTGTCCCATTTGACGGGCATTGCGGCATCGCTCAATCGTTGCATGATACGAGGAATGGAAGGTGGCAGCCACGCCAACCATGGTAAGCCGCCATGATGCCTTTCCAGGGCCAGCATACAGATACGCATCATTTTGCGCCGCACCCTTCCGAGGAAACGCAAGGGCAATACGCCTGCCAACGGTTTGTGCCTCCCTCCGCCAGTGGCCTAGACCCGACAATCAGCATCTTGAAAGGGTTGTTCAGATCCGCCAGACGACCAGCTGGTGCAAAGCTTCGGGCCGGGGGATAGAGCCTAACCAAGTGGAACGCCAGCCGATCCCTGCCGCGCAGCAGCTCACACCTCTCGTGGCCTCATGCTGCTTCCCACTCAACTCGAACCCTTCCCGAGCTAATTGATGGGTTGGCAAGCACCTCACGGGGCTGTCGAGTGGCTCGCGCATTAGTCCAGCCAAGCAGCCACTTGGCTCCTGTACTGGGTGGGGGGTTTTACTGTACAAGGTATTGTCATGCGCAACGTGGGCATGCCATCGGACCCACCACCATTTGGTCGGGTTGGCACGGCAAGTACACCGCGAGCAGGAGGCGGGGGGAGGGCACCCGTGGTCGGGGCGGCGACGGGGGAGGGCAGGGGCCCCTGAAGCAAGCGGGACGGTTGCGGCGCCGTTTGCTGCATCGATAATTCCAATTTTGTGCTCGACGGCCCAAGTCGAGGTGCCACCGGAAGGGGGGGGTACCAGCAAGAGTCTGTTGAGTGGCGCTGATCGCCCATGGTGGGTTGTTGCACGACTTCCCGCGTTGCGGCAAGAGGACAGCGCGCGTCGCAGCGATGCTTCGTGAGAGAACTCGATGCGGCAACTGTTCCGACTTCTTCGAAGCTTTGTGCGGACACTGCTGGGCGCCTGGTGTCTAGCGCAACTGGATCTGCCCACGCCAGCCGCGCGTCAGGCAGCGGACCTCGCTCGCGTTGGCCCGCCGCTGGTCCGCGCAGCCGCGCCCTTACCGTCGATGGGTGCAATGGCTCGCCTTTCTGACTTGCCCGCGCCGCTTGGCGCCGTGCTCCGGGTTTGCCATGAGCCCCTTCTTGCCGAACGTCGTGCGAAGGCACGTTTAGCGTCGGCCGCAGCCGCCAGCGGGCCCTGGGCACGCCATCGCTGTCTGGTGTGCCCACCCCTTTGACATCGCCTGAGTGTCACTTGCGGTTCTGAGACCAGGCGCGTCCATCTGCCATCTCCGCTGATTCCGCCCTTGTCTGGCCCGGGCGTGTTGCAGCAGCAGTACAAGGCGCAGGTTGCCGCTTCCCCGGTACATGCGTTCGGTGTGAAGCGGGGGCCGTTTGCGCTCCTGCTCGCCCTCCTGCTGCTCTTGCCGAGATCGACGGCCACGGGCTGCGAGGGGGCCCCCAAGATGGTCGTGGACCCCGATCTGGGGCCCGGCACGGAGGGCGTCTACTTCTACAACGCTGCCGGGGGATTGGAGGCGCCGGGCTCCCTGGTCTTCTTCAACGAGCACGCCCAAATCCTGGACTGCGTCAACGCCTCCAGCTTCCTGGTGCTGATCGACGGCCTGAACAGGCACCCCGTCTTCGACCACGCCTTCGTGGACAACGGCAGCGTGGTGGCGGCGTCCATGAGGGTGACGCAGAACGGGCCCCTGACGCACAACAACAACTGGAGGTGGATCTTTCTGGACACGCAATTCCGGCGCGCGGAGGGCCTGCCCGACCTCAAGTTCATCGGCTTTGAGCGCGGGGACGCGTCCTCCGACTTCGGCGCCGACGCCAAAGTGTGGCCCAAGGACCTGCTGCTGCTGCGCAACTCGCGCCACGCGGTGATGCTCATGTCGCAGAAGCGCAGGGTGGAAGTGGCCGCCTGCGTGCCGAACGCCACGCTGGCCGTCGTCGACCTCGTGGAGGTCGGGCTGAGGGCCGTGGACAGGATCAGCCTTGAGCCCGTTGCGGAGGTGAGCGGCTTTGACCTCTTCACGACAGCCGGTGACGACTGGTGCCAGTACATGTCGGCCGAGCGCAGGGCGGCCTTGGGCGCATCCAGGCTGCAGAGCTTCCGGCTGAATGACGTGTCAGCCATCCGCGAGGTGGATGGGGCGCACTGGGGCGACGGCCTGGCCGGCAACCGCACGTTCCTTGTGGCCCACCAACTCACGCAGACAATCGACCTGCTGCTGTGGGACTTCCAGGCGGGGGAGTCGCCAAGGGTGGTGTGGCGCTTTCCGGGCGTAGGCGCCCCCAGTGCGATTCGCGACCAGTGGGCCGGGAATTGGGAATTGGAATTCGATCCGCTGGGCGGGTTCTCCGGGCCAATTGACGTCCGAACTGAAAACGCGATTCCCTTGCACTTCATAGTCTACGACGACGGGCGCTCTCACTCGTTCGACGGGGGAGATGGTCAGTCATGCCCCATGAGCCGTGTTGCGGAGTACCACATCGATTTAGATGTCAATGGTCCGGGATCCCACAGGGCGGATTTGGCTTTCAGCCATCCAGCCGTGAGGAATTATCCACCAATCGTGGAGCGGGGACAGCGCGGCGGGGACATCGCGACCGGGGTGCAGGACTTGGGGGAATCGTGCGCGGAGTTTTGGGAGCATTTCACCTTCCAGACGTCCTCTGCGTCCTTGACGAGAACAAAAAATGGAACGACGGTCATCACCCAGCATGGTGATGGGCGAGTGCTGCACGGGGACGGCCAAATGCCTCACACCCAAGTGATGGTTGAGGTGGACGCCCTTGGGAAGGTTGTGGCGACATGGAACGCTACTGTTTCTGACGACCTTTCTCCAGGGTTGACAGGGCGGGTCCAATACATGGATTCGGGATCGTTCATTGACGGCGCACGGCCCCAGCGTACGCCCTCAGCGGTCGACGTTTTACGAACAAGCGGAGCCACTGCCTTGGAAAAGCGGATGACCGCTTTGGTAGCAGCTTTAGGCCTGCTGTTGCTTGCCCTTTAGCCCTGTGCGCATTGGCTCATCCACGACATCCATTGTTCAATGTGGATTGCGTTATGCAAATTAGACAGGCTGCTGATTCTTGCGGGCATCTGATTTGACCGTGATATGCTACGCATGACATTGGCGCTTCTAATATTGTAAGCCACGGATTCGCTGCTACGTTTTCTGAATCGGTCTCAGATGCACATTAATGTGCAGGATACGGACGCCAAGCATTTTTGTGGTGCTGTCAATTTCCCAAAATTTCTAAAGGAAACTCACAGTGAAGTTTTGTGGAGTCGCTGGTGTACAACAAGGTGGTCATACAGGTCCTCCAATCTGCCTGAACAGAGGTATTCGGCCGATCTTGGAGGAAGTCTGAGAAAGTATCTGTCTGAAGCCAGCCTGTTCCTCTCCCTGTTAATGTACCTGGAGGAAACGGACTCCCTGGCTGCATCGAGCCCCAACATCTGGCCTGGTATGCCCAAAGCTGCCCATGCGCCGCGTGACAACAGTTGAAGGGACTGTCGTCACCCCAAACAGTGCCTGGAACGCCTCCAGCGCCTACCCACATTTTGCGGTCCGATGCTAGTCAAGCATGAGTCGCTGTCGATACAGATGACAAGATCCGGACAAGATCTCTTCCTGATGTTCTCCGTGTTACAGGCAATCACATGATGTGATTTAACAAGTGTTTGTTGTGCCATCATAGCTGTGAGCTGGCTTGGTCTTTACATTTATGGCTCCATTTTGCTTTATGTTTATGCTATTCATTGTACGACTATTTAAAATTGGTTTTTACATTTATACCCACAAATAAGTATTAAAAATGCCTAAAAATGGAAGTGTACTTCATGATAGTACATACAAACTCAGGGAGTCCTGGGAGCGGCAGCTAGACGCAGTGAAGTACGCACAAAGTGATCTTTTGCTCGGCGACGTCGATACCCTTGCCGAGGGCGAGGTGTGGGGTTTGGTGCCTGTGCTGGCGAGAGCGGAGAATTGGTCGTTGATTCGGGCGTGATCGTGTAATCTGGGCGTGTCGACGAGCCATAAATATGTGTAACTATGGCCGCAAAGATGGCCATTACTCTCTTTACGCGATTCTGCGCGTAAAAACGTAAACAGCATAAATAGCTGTAAATAGAAAAGTGTTTACGCCATAAATACCAAGCCTGGCTATGACCTTGGTCACAGCTATGTGGCGGTGGTGACCAATGGCATCTGATGGAGCAAATGCTTGCTACAAGTGATGCCATGCATCAAGGCATGACCACCCAGAGGTCCCAGCAGGTGCATTGACGTCTTTGGGACCATTGTCCAACGCAACTACTTCGCCTGAAAACTCCCGAAATGCCTCGCAAGCACCACCAAAACCTGGCAAAAGTCCCCTGACGAGTCAAAACACTCAGTGCTAGTACCAACAGTGCTAGCACCAAAGGAACTTTTTGGGGTGGGGTGGGGTGGGAGTGGGGTGAGAGAGGGGGCATACTCCACTGTGCCACAATGGAGGTGCTCACGCATGTAAGGTGCCCAACGTTTTGAGGCAATGCACAAGAGTAGAGCAATGTCGACACATATATCATGGCTGCCACAGTTGCAGCTTTGATAATTCAGTATCATGTGACAACACGCAATTGGGAACACCAACAGAAAACCACTCTGTGCGTCATGCTACCATACAAGAACCTAATGGAGCTTCGAGGGCATACGCTGCATCATGAGGTGTTTCCAGCCCTTCATTTTTGGCACGATGCTGTCTTACAATTGTTAGATAGAGGTTCACCTTTCAGCATGATGGTATTAGTCAGGGATAAATCGAGAATTGCTCCAATTCCCCAGCTGTGATGATTCACAGGCAGTTGTCCATGATGCTTTCGTTGCATCGTGGCCCTCACCCCCACCCAAAGAGAGATCCACAAACACAGGTACATTCTTACAATGCCCATATTGACGATGAAGCCCCAATAAACCCTTCTGAATTGGGAAACTTCATCTGCAAGTACATCAGCTTCACGTGGAACAGGCGCAGATACCACCATTGAACTCATTGTAATTCCTTGGCCAACGCCCTCAAAAGCTGCTGCTGCAGATGCAACAGTTGGCAGTACCCTTCAGCCCACGTGTTGTGAATAGACACCCCTTTCATTGCACAGAATTCTCGTGCAAGACCACGTACTCCCTTGAACTCATGCCGAATCGCAGCACATCCTGCTGACAAGCACTGACACAAATTCAAAACTTCACAACTCCTAGGCAGGGCTTTGCAAAGGTACCAACAATCAAAATCGTCAATCCAAATCGCCCACAACATAGAAGCTCCAGGTGCCATCGACAGACAAGCTGCAATCGGTTGCATTGATCACGAAAGCAATGCTCACAAATGCGGCAAGCATAATACAAACCATTCTTCATTTGACTTGCAAGCTTCCCAGTGACAACTAACAAGGTGACAGCGTCAAGACACGAGCATCTGCCAGTTTGGCCATTCACCCCAGCCTGTGGACCAGACCAGTGAGCCAAATCTTCGAATGGAGGAAGATGACAATCAGCAACAAGCCAGGTTGCATGCGTCACCCATTTCAGGTGCACTTTACAAACTGGATCACCCCATGTGGCTCATTTAGCACCATGTGAGGTCCGCGGAGTTTTAAAACAGAGATTGAGCAATTTGGGTGGGTTGCAGACCAGGACAGAACATTCCTCTGCTTCTAATTGGCCAGGGGAGGGGGCAAAAAAGTAGATGAGACTCTCAGAGATCATACCATGTTCCCACAAAGAAAAAAGAAGACTGTGTGCTCATGGTGGTTTGCCTGCACTGGAATCCAGGGGCATCGACACTGGAATCGGCTTGGCTTCTGCGACAAACGCATGATAAGAGCCAAGCAACTTGTCAAGGAAAGATGTGCAAACAGGATGCAGATCACCAGAATGCCACAGGGCACAGGACATACCCGCTCCATAAGCTCGTAGAACCTCTCAGGATCGAGCCGATCATTCCCAATTGTGGTTCCATTGACACTACCCAAATCCAGCACATATGGCTTCACTGCCCGCCTCGTCATACCACTGACATCCATTTCTTCCACAATCCTGTGGCAATAAACAAAAGAGTTGCATGATATGCTGACACGTTTTGCTGTCAGTCAGCATGCCCTTGGGGCAAAGATTATGGCGAACACCGGCCCCAAAATAGGGTCATAAGGAAGCCAGCTTTCCACAACCAAGTCTTAGCTTGTCGTAATTGACGTGTGTCCCCACTCACACTTTGAAGCATGGTGTCTTGAACGAAAACTAGAAATAGAATTACCAGGACAGGCTAGGGCAGTTCCATAGCACTCCGATACTTTGTTGCAAATGCCATTGTGAACAAACACGGAAATGTGTGCCATGGTATGTAGCAAGCATAGAAAGGTATCATTAGGTCCAGCTCACCTGAACTGCAAGACAGCATGCTGCTTGCTGCAAGAGGGATGGTCTGTTGGAATGTCCACAACATTTCTGTCACGGCCAAACAAGTAGCAGGACTGCCGATGGACAGGAATCGGCTCCCCACAGACCTCTCCATTCTTGAACACATAAAGACGCCACCTCAGGTCTGGCTTGCTTGCCTCAGGGGGCTCAGAATACTTCAGCACCACCCCTTTTTCTGTATTGGCCTCCTCTGCAAGTTTCCCGGACAGTCCAAAGTTTGGAGCGGGGCCAGAACCCCCCTTGGGCCGCCGAGACCCATCCCCCCAGCGACTGCTCTCCAGTGTGGGAACATTTGTGTCTGCCACATCGCCATCATCCTTGCCAACTGGTTTCCCACTTCTCAACCCAGGACGATCAGATTTTGGTGTTTGTTTCTCTTTCCATCCCTCCTGGCCTTTGGACTCCTCCCCTCTGCCCTTCGATGGCATTCTGGCCTCTTGGGGATGTGCAGAACCCCTGTGCTGAGCATTGGAATGTTCCCTGGTCTTTGGGCGTTTGGAAGGGTGGTCAGCTGGGCTGGAACTCCTTCCAACTCTCCTGTGCCTCTCCCGACCCGCCTGCCGGTCACCATTGCGTAAATCTTTCCTGGGGCTTTCTCTGTCTCTGGGCTCACCGCGACCACTTGCTCTGTCCCGCGCATTCGACCCCCCCTTCTCAGCCCTGTTGTTCCTTTGAGAGGCATGCTTGTCCCGCCCCTCCTCCTTTGCGCTCCGCCCCGACCCCTTCCCTTCTCTGTAAGAGTCCCTCCCCACGTCTCGGTCCCTCCTGGACCCCCTCCTGTGCTCCCTCTCCTCCGAGCTCGGGCTCCCAGATCGGCTCAGGCTGCCCCTCCTCCCTCTTTTGACCACATCCCTCCCTCCACTCGCCTTCCCCCCTCCCTCTGCTCGCCCCCGCCTTCTCCCATCCAGCCCATCATTCTCCGAACGCCCTCGGGCGTCGGCCCGACCATACTCCTCCTGGCGCGCCCTCCTGTGACTTTCATCTACCCTTGCCGGGCTTCGGCTCCCGGACGCCCGGGCCCTCTTGCTCCCTGCATCCCTGTGCCTCACCCCTCCGGAGCGCCTGTCGTCCCTGTTGCCAGTCGCCCTGTCGCGGCCGTCCTCCTGGGACCTGCGGTCCCGTCGCCGCCCAGCGTCGCCATCACGGCCGCCTTTGTCGGCCGGAGACCTGCTGGGCTGGCGGCGCGACGAGCGCCGATTCCGCTCCTCCTTCCCTTTGGCCCTCGATCGGCGTCCGCTCTCGGAGGAACGCGAACGACCGCGAAGGCGCCGATCGCGCGATCTGCGCAATCAATTCCGGCTGGGGAAAACTGAATGGGGGGCGGCAGCGACAAAGCAGCATTCACAACAACCGGTGGTTTGTATCCAGAAACTTGAAATGGGGAGCATGTTCGACCACGGAACCGCGGCATAAAATGTTTCCCAGCTCCAGAAACCGCCTGCATTGCCTGGCGGTGCCTGTTCAGCAGCGAGGGTTGGTCGCAGCGCGAGGGGATGCGGGCGCACGATGAGCTCTCGCTCCACTCGAGCCAGCCGTTCGCAGTACCTTGAAGCAGAGGAGGCCGACAAGCCCGACCAACGCGACCCAGAGGAGTTGGACGTGGAGTCCCGCGACGGCGACAAGGAAGACGTCCGGGTCGAGGAGTCCCCGGCCGAGCTGCTGGTCGTCGTGCTGGCGCTGGAGGGCGTGGATGGCCTCGAGTCGGGCGTCGGGGACCTGCGCGCCCTCTTGTCTCGCCTCTCGGCGCCGCGCGAGGACCGAGGGGGCGACCTCCTGGTCCGGCTCGACCCCATCTGGAACCGCAGCTGCGGGACCGGGGGGGGCTGGGGAGGGCAATACTTACGCGCACCCCAGCCCAGAAACCAGTTTTTTCGCCCACGGCGCCAAAATTACGCTTTTTGTGCCCGGTCCTTGGCGTCCTTCTTTCCTGCGCTTTCCACTTTCGCCCCGCGGTGCACGTGTCCTTTCTTCCAGGGCGCCTGACGGCGTGGCGTGGCGAGCGGACTTCCCGTCCTGAACTTTGAGCTCCTTTCTTCGGGCTCCTTTTCCGTTGTCTGAGGCCAGGGGCCCCGGTTGCGGATGGTAAAGGCGGCCGGTGAGTGAGCCGAGGCGTCCAGGGGCATTCGGTGTGGACCGCCAGAATAGTGCTCCGATCGCCTCGCGGGCGGGCTCCCCGCCCCGCAGCGTGATGAGCCTTGGATCGGTGCCGAGAATGCGCACCCTCTGCCGCTTCACAGAATCTGAAGTTCGTCGGAGAATGGATGTGACTGTGGCTCGAATGGTTCTCCTGGCACGGATCTGCTGTCACAGATCCAGTCAGGCCGTAGTGTTCCCTTGGGCCTTGAGCACCTTGTACCACGCGCTGAGAACATTGAGTTGGCACTCTCTGGCGCGTTGCTTGGACGCAGGAGATGCCAGTTCCGGTGGCCCCGGACAGGTGTCCCCGTTTGCAGAAGAGGACATCGCTTTAGGGCGGGGGTGGATCACGTTTTTTTTGCGTCGTGCCCTTGTCACAAGAAAATTGCCTCCGACAAGCGAATGAATGGAAGCTGTCACACAGGGCGACGACCGGACGCTATCCGGCGCAGCCGGCATTTTGTTTAGCGGCAGAAGTTGATGCACTGCGGAGCCTATTGGCACCACGTCTGACACACGTTTGTGCGCATCTGAAAGGAAAACCGAAGAAAGAAAAGAGCTACGAAAAGCGACACAGGAAGGAGGCAAATCGTCAGGCACATGGGGCCGCATTCTGGGTGAGCTCAAGTGCCCATTGTCGGCCAATACTCGGAGCCTGTTCACAGAAGAAGGGCCTAAAGGGCGGGCTGTTCCCGTTCACGTGGCTTTGCTTCTGTTTGAAGCTGCCAAATTGGCCATATAGCGATTTTGTATTTGTGTGTCTGTGCAGGTCTGGATTGGCCTGGCTGCCCTCTTTGTGGCCATATTTGTGTTCCTCTTCTTCATCACAATGAAGGAGCCCAAAGCTGTGCCATCAGATGAGCCTTTAATAGAGGGCACAGCATCAAATGAAACTGCCAAGGAACTGTGAGACAAGGGAATGGAAGAATCAGGAAAGTTGGAAACCAAACCAGGCGAGTATGGCACGGCACAAGGAACTAGGCCTGGGAAAGATTGAGGGTGTCAAGCTGGTGTCAGCATTATCCTGTTGATCCAGGATAGAACCCCAAGGGATGTTTGTGCGGCATCCTTTCCAGAGATGGGCTTCTGTATTGCATTTGGATGCGGCTTTGGTTGCAGATACTGGCAGTGATGGCTTGCAATGTCAAACTCTTCAAAATCTCCTCTTTGAACAGTGCAAAGTGGCGAAGAGTGCGTGTTGCTGGGAGGTCTCACTGGATTGTAGTCGCTGTTGCTGTTGCCCTTTGCAGCGAAAGCGATCGCCGCAGCATGTGTACATCGCGGTGATGCAAGTTGCTACTGCCTGCCCTGCCAAAATTTTACATGTAGCAGCCTCTTGTCAGTGTGCAAGGGCATTGCTGGGGCATGGGTTACAGCCTTGAACCTCAGCAGTCGCCTCCAGTACCAACAAAGTGTCAACGCCCAGGCCTCTTTCCACAAAAAAGCGACAGAGACTCTTTCCACTTTCCACTGCTGTTGTCTATCCCGCCTTGTCCACCTGTGCCCAAGCTCATTGTGCATGGTCCATGGTCATCACCGCTCCAGGCCTCTAGTTTCTTTGGGCACACAACTGCTGATCATCACAAGTGTATTGCTGCCAGCCTGATGGGTGATGGTATGGTCACATTCCAACTGTGAACTGAGAACATGTCGTAGCCTTGCAAAGTATGCCCTCTTCTTCCTTGTCGGAGTGCAGACGATGGATGGCAGTGGCTGGCCATGGGCGCAGGGTGCCGCAGTTGATGATCGATCTGCAGGGGCTGTCCACATGCAATCCGTGGAGATATTGGCCGAGCGGCGTTGTGAGGCGATGCGAGAGCAGAAGTGACTGCCCTAGATGGACGCTGGTGCATAGCAAAAGTTTTGCTTCTCGTTTTCCACTAGGTTTCTCTTGGGCACCTGGAGGAGCGTCGTTTGATCGTCATTGTTTCTGTTGTTTGGCAATCATAGCCGAGCACCGCGTGGTTGGCCAAAACACCCAGTACAGGAAGGTACACCGGCGCATCGCTCAATCAAGGCAGGAACTCTGCACAGCACTTCTACAGCGATGCTGAATGTGCACCAGTGCAGCCTGGGGTTTAAGGCACGCCTGAAGCTCGCCAGTTGCGTGCCAATAAGGCTCCATGCATCCAGGAAACTAGCACTAATGTTACATGCGTGTACACAATGCTCGTACAGTACATCTGCCTGTCACCAAAGCACAAACAAGCCAACTCGTCGTAAAGAAATTCATGGCCACTCCTCTCTGACGCTCTGGCACCGCCGCCTTCCGCCGACCGACGAACCCCCACATGTCAGTGCTGCTGAGCAGCGGGCCAATAAAACGAAAATGCGCTCTCATCACATGAAAGCTCTTCGAGTGGCTGCATCACTCCCTACTCCCCAACACATTCGTGCAAAAGTACTTTCCTATTCCCTAGCTGCTCTTCCAATTCGGGCGCCTTGGCGCCTCCGACGACTCCCTTACGACGCTTGGGAACGCCCTCACACAATCACTGTCTCCTGGCTGACAGCTCGCGGCTGCACTGGCGTTATGTCACTCAGCACCATGTCTGGGAACGGGTCTACATAGCACGCGTCCGGCCTGCAGCAAGGACACCGAATAGGCTTAGGACTCTACCCGGCTTCGCATTTTTTTCAAAAAGCGCTGCGGCTTAACAATACTAAACTGCTGTCAAAGAACAAAATAAAGCCCCACACTTGCACAGGATCAATGCAATGCCAATCAACACACAATTGGGCTGTGAAACGCACGACGTCTTTGGCCACTTCAGAACGGTGTGGCACATCTAGACCAGCACTCACCTGTTGTCTTCTGGCAGCATGAGGCAGACTGCGGCCTGCACGTAGTCCCCAGCGTCAAAGAGCGGCAGGTCATTGACAACGACCCACGGCACCCACCGGTGCTCAGGCACCAGCGACCAGGTCTCGTTGTAGGCCGCTTCGACCAATTCTTTGCCCCGGGGGCCCTCAGCGCACTCCAAAATGCTCCCTGCATCCACGCCGCTCTGGGACGGCGATGCACACTCCCGGTTAGCGAGACAAGTGAACAAAGTGCCGGAAATAATGTTCTGAAGCATTGCCAGGATGAGGAAAATTGCCGCCCGTTTGGCATTCAGGTGCATGCCATTGGTCTCGACGATCAGCTGCTCTTCAGACCAGAAGAAGGGCGTGGCGGTGTTTTGTGCACACCGCTGCTCAAACTGCGGGATCACCGCCGAGTCCTTGGGGCCCACCGCACAAATTCGGCGGTCGAAACTTTCTGCCCCAACCTATAAGACGAGGCCCCATTTGTTGTTGATGATGGGAGAGATTGAAGCTGAGGGGGACAGGAAGGGCTCCTGAAGCACAGAAAGCCGCAGACCCCACAGAACCTTGTGCCACCACCAGGGAACGGACCGAGGCCTCTCAGTGCCCCTTAGTAAACCCCCCAAAGCCCCACATCGCGGCGAGTCTTGGCCAGGAGGCGACGCGGTGGGTAGGGTGAGGCCGCACCCAAAGCGACTGCCTCCGGGCTCGTGCCGCCCGCGCGCGCGGCCACAAACAACAGCTAGAGGGCATCCTGGACGGTCGTCGCGGCGATCGGAGGAAAAAAACCGTGTGGTGCCGTGCCAGCATCACCGTTTCTGTGCGCCCGCCTGACATCCGACCATCTACCCACCCTCCAGGCGCACTCCTCCACGGCCGTCCTGTTCCCGAAATCGCCGCTGTCCTCCAGGCACAGTACCAGGGGGAACCAGTTGTCTTGGCCCGGGTGCAGATCCATGGCGCAGTCGAGGATTCTGTTGCCAATGCACTCCACGGGCCCATGCTGGCACACCAGCTCCCCCTCCTCGTCCTTCCGCGCGTTGCCCAGTGCCACGATGCGCAGGTCGATGTAGTCGCTGAGGCCGTTCTCGAACAGCGGCGCGAGCACCTCGCTCACGTACTTGCGGCAGAACGGGCACAAGGCCTCATCATACAGGGTCACCTGCCGCATCAACGGGCGCCAGTGGTCAGTCATCGGCGGTGTGCCGCAGCCCCTTGGGTGAAGGCGCCTGCGAAAAACGGCGGATGATCTTGTCCTGCGCCTGGATTGCGGCGATTGCCGCGGTGGAGTAAACCGGAATCGAGATTGCTTGGGGCAGAAAGGGTGGCCGATCGGGTTGGCCAGGCGCTGTTGCGACTTGGGGGCATCCGTGCCTTTGTCTTGGAGGCATCGGCGGCCGCGGCGCACAGGCCGAGCAGGAGCAGGGCGAGGAGCTTGAAGGCCATGGTTGCTGTGGGTGCAGGTGGGCCGGGCGGCGAGTTGCTGCGGATCGCGGGTCCACACGCTGTTTTATAATGGGCCTCATTGACGTCCAGATGGGCACACAGTCAACAGCCCCACCAGGGGTCTCCCCAGGATCACGGCCATTGCATCTGCCATCCGGTGGATTTTGCGCCTGTGACAGCGCGGTCGATGCAAGTGCAGTCGGGCTGGGGGGCTTTGCTAAATATTGCTCGTGGGATTGCGGTACCGCCGCAGCGGCGACAACCCTCCTAAGAGCTCCCCAGGACGCACTGTGCCGCCCCAGCTGTCGTGAAGCGCAAGCGCCTTTTGACGGTGGGCAGCAATCAAAACACTTGAAGTACGGCAACACGCATGGCAAACGATCACACGTGTCTCGTGCGTATTTCCTGGGACTGGGCAAGGCACATCGTCCCCTGCCTTTGGCGCCTGCGCGTATGTTCTGGATGGAGGTTTGAAGGCAGCCATCCAGGACCCTGTGCCAATGTGTGCGGTTTTACCGTTGCCCAACTTGGCCACACAGAGCTATTTCCTGTGCGTGGCTTGAGTGTGTGTGCATTCCATTCGTTCACTGAACGTAGCCACACGCGTCGAATGAGTCCACGTTGATCATATCAGCGCCGTGTCCAGACGTCGCTCTTCATCGGGCGCACACGACCTGGATGCTTCAACAGAACCAGGACATTGCAGGCACCTGTCAGCCCCGCTACTTCTGTAGTGGGCCACTACCGGCTGGCAGGGCCCCCGTCGACGACACATTCCACTCGGTGTCTCCCTGTGTACCTATGGCGCTGGTCACCCGAGGAAAATGGCCAGGGAGGATGAAACTTGATCAGCGCGCAGGGGTAACCCTTTCAACAGCTCTGGCTCCCTGGCATTCCTCAGCCCGCCTTGCGACTTCGTCAGTCCCCCAGCCCGATCCATTTAGAATCTGCTATCTTTCCACTCTGTTTCGTTTTCAAGCAGTGGTGCCTTGCTTGGGCCATCCCATGAAGTGCACGGCGTTGGGGTGCATTCCCTTCATTAGCCTCAAGTCTTCGACCAATGAAAAGGTGACAAGTCACTGCAAGGCAGCGCGAACAGGATGCACATTAACGGACCGAAACTAGCAAGGCCACTTGCCTTTGTTCATTGGGCCACAGGTAGACAGTCGGATTGTCGACGTTGCAGGGCAGATTGCCAGTTGCCATGGCAATTGCTGCAGCAGCTGCCGCATGGGTGCCATCGTCCAACCTCTCGTCGGTCCTCACTGCAGGTCATAGGCAGTTAGTTATTGGATGCGTCAAAGAGCAGGCTGTCGTGGAAACGATAAGGACTGCCATGAGGGACCTTGTGGGAGAATGCAGCACAAGGCTTGTGCTGCAAGGGAAGACACTATTTTGATTTTGGTACGCTTAACGTCAAATTGACGTTAAGCAGAGACCCCCTCCCCCCCTTAGTGCCACTTTCACTTTTTTCTCATTGCAGTAATCTGTTCTTACTCTGCAGCAATGCATGCAGCAACCACGCCGATGATTGTCACGACAATACGCAACAGTCATTCGTATGGGCCATATTTCCCAATGCAATGTCACTCACATGATTCCTGGTGGAATATCGCGCCATCCATCGGAGTGTTCGTTGTCTCGAGTACCATCAATGCACAACGCAATGAGCGTAACAGGCTCACTATTCCATGTAACTCGAACAACTCGAAGGAGACCCCGCCAACGCCCCATTTATTTCGTTTCCAAGCTAGGATTTGCGATTAATTTAAACCAAAGGGCACTCCTTCCCTGAGTACACTGTATTTCTACATTTTCCCAAATTGCTGCCTTGGTGTGCCCCGGGTATCTCGTCATGTCAATTCATGCCCCAGTGCGCCCTGTCATGTGAGAGCATAGGTGGAAATGAATTCACTATTGCACTTTCAGCCTTGCGTGATTGCACCATTGAGGGTAGTATTCAGATTTCTGCTTGTCCAGAGTTCTGCAGTATCTTGGCAACAGCACGGTCACTAGGGATCATGATACACGTGTCTCAGCAGCCCTTTCTTTCCTGCTCAGCATATTCGTTGATTTGGTGCCAGCAGCATACCCAACTCACAACAAGAAAACACCAATTAGGCGCCAAGGGCAGCAGTCCAAGAATATGTTGCCGACATCGTGCACGTACATTCGACTCGTGCATTGAGATATCAAGGATTGAGGTCTGAAATACAGGTACCATCAACCTTGGCGAGATATTGCACCAAAAGAGGGAAATGGGTATGGCAGGCGAGGGCGTTCCAAGGCCACCAAGGCCACATCAACATGCTTGCGGTTCGTCCCCAGTGCATGGCTCGTCTTGCACCAACATTATGCTGCCCAGCAGCCAAGAAATTCACCTCCTTGACTTCCTGGACGTTGGCAGCATAAATCAAAATGCTTACAGCTTCACAAAGTTAAAAACATCTTGAGCCCCTTGCACACATCAGGCAATGATGGCTGTTGAATGCAGTTTCTTATTGACAGATCACTAATCCGGGTTTCATTTGAGCACAAGCAAAGCGAGAACGCAATTGGGAGGTGGGAAATAGCGGCCTGTGGGGCAGTCCGACCAATATGAAGGTGAAAAACCGTGCCATGTAAAATGAACGGAGTGTCAAAACGCCAAATGGCATTTTGGATCAGTGGCAAGCATTTGTTACACGTGCCAACGTCTGCTGCTGTGTCTGCTGCTGTAAGATTAGCCTTGTGGATGCTCCTTGGCACGCCTTGAAATTTGTGAGGTATGGAGCACACAGTATCCCATTCTGTCACCCCTATAGCTCAAAAGATATCACCAGGGGTGGCTGACCTCTGCTCAGCTCCACCAGACCACATGTCCCTTCGCAAGCATCCGCAAGAGGTTGCCTCACACAGTGATGGAGACACTTGCTGCTGAAGACACTGCACAGATGGCTGTGATGAAGACTGTGAGGAAGCTAACAAAAGCGAGTGGCCAGTCAGCCACAGGAGGCGCACTGAACACAGCACAGGTGCAGGTCCAACTCACATTGAGTTTGCAAAATTGCATTACCCAACATCCTGAGTCTCAAAATTGTATCCGAATCTGCTTTTGAACCGGGCAAAATCATTGCATCTTCGCCTCTACTCAAGCCTTGGATGTCTGTCCACCCTTGGAACCCTCTTCGGTATTTGGCTTCACAACCTGAATCATTGACAGTCGAATTCTCTCAGTTGCCATCACTCCTGGACAAATGTCTGGCCACTGGTCTTCTGCAGAAATAACAGCAGTGTCTCCAGCAATTTGATGCTGTGTGGGATGGGCACATTACTGGCATATGTTTGTGCTACACACATGCACAATGATGTGTCCCATTACCTAGAGGAACAACTTTGGTGAGGCATTAGCCCATATGCCACTGAAGCAAGGTCCAGGCAACTCTACAAGTCCTTTGTCAGGATGCTGTTGCCACGGAGGCGACTGGTCATCTGCCTAGTTCTCTTGCGCGAATTGCTTTCTTGGAATACTATAGGGCCATTATGCTTTAGCTGATCAAGGATAACAACCCTTGCCAATCGAGAAGCCTCCGTGCACAGCAATTACGACGGGTGTAGATGGTTGCCAAAGGTCGCACAAAGGGCTAGGAGATGAAATTGGAGCGCGCTCAGGGCGATATTACATATATCCATTGTCCACAGGTCCCCGTTCTTCCAGGAAACACACAAAGAACAAACGATCAGGGCGCCCATTGCTTTGCACCCTTGTCCATGGTTGAAGCAGATCAACGGGGCATCAGCGCCCGGGCAGCGACACCCGCGCAGTGCCAGACAGCGCTGAAAAGTGTGCTCCAGGCCTCCCTCCTTCAATGCCCCCCTCACACAATGTCTCAATCCCCCTGGCGAACACCGCCCAAGCCACAGCCGACGGCTCACCTGACTTGCGCTCCCGACAGCCTTCCCAGCCTCATGAACCTGAGTATTGCTGCTATCCGGAGTTGGTGCCGCGTTGGGCGCTCCACGCGTGTCCTCTACTGTCTGCCCGTCTTCCGCCGTGGCCCACCAGTGGCGCGCACATTCCGTTACGTACCCGCCGACGCAGACGCCCACCGCAACGTGGAACAGCGGCGCAGCGGAGCCGCTCTGAATGTGCCGCTGCGCGTACCGCTGCAGGAAGGTCGCCATTGCGGTCAGCGGGAGCGGGGTGGCGCGCAGAGGCCTCGGTGAGGGCCCCGGGGGGTGACGTTGAATGGAGGGGTTTGTAGGCTTTCACGCGCCGCTCATAGCAGGAAAAAAATGCGGTGAAGCTTCGGGTGGCACAGCTTGAAGTTCGGTGCAAGACTCACTCCACGCCCTCGGCATACCCCCTTTCCGTCGTCATTCTCCATTAATTCGAGCAGGGCTACTTTCATTTCCGAATTGACACTTTTCATCGAGTTAAAATTTAAATGACCGCTCGAAACGCCAATAGGGACCCTAGTTCGGACAATGTGTCCAACAGAAAAAGCTGAAACGCAACCTGATTCGGACAATGTCCAGCAAGGGAACTGCAAAGTGGCCCCAATTTGGACACGCGACAACTGACAACGTCGCCTTGGGACTTGAGTTCCATACAGTTCTGAGTATGCCAGGTGCCAATCGCCACAGTTCTGTTGCTCAGTCATCGATTGATGAGGTTGACAGCTTGCCGCCTTGTTGTGTTGCTGCACCGTGCACTTTGCGGTCATCTCCTGTTTCAGTGAACCGATAAGGGGGGTGCCATTGAGATCTGCGTATTTTGCTGTTTTCCATAAGATGAAACGGAGGTTGAACGCTTCAATTGATTTGTGTTCAGCAAGCTTTCTCTCCCATGCAATCGGCAGTTTGGCAGTTTTGAAGGGCAGAATACCCAGTCCAAGCTAACCGATGTGCCGTTCTGCCCATCTAGCTCTGTATGCTTTGTTGCTTTCCATCAGATTAGATGGAAGTTGAGCAATGCAAGTGACATGTGTCCGGCAATATTTCTATTCCATGAATTCAGC